TTGCGGGCAGCGGTGGTGGCTTAGCGCCGGAAGCTGAGAGGACACCTCCTGCCCACCCCTTTGGTGTCGAAGAGACTTTGGCTAGGAGAGTGCCAACGCTTGCTTTAGCTAGTGCGCCAGTGTCGTGGATTTGGGACCCGCGGTGAGAGACCACCCCCTGGCGCACCCCTGTGTGTCGAGAAAGAGCACGCCTGCTAGGCTGCTAGGCTTGCGCCAGTGTCGTGGATAGCGGCCGAGCTGAGAGACCACCCCCTGCGCGCCCCCTGCGGTGTCGAGAAAGTGCCACGCTTGCTAGGCTTTGCGCCGGTGTCGTGGATAGCGGCCGAGCTGAGAGACCACCCCCTGCCCACCTCCTTTGGTGTCGAGAAAGTGCCACGCCTGCTAGGCTTTGCGCCAGTGTCGTGGACAGCTGCCGAGCTGAGAGACCACCCCCTGCGCACCCCCTGTGGTGTCGAGAAAATGCCACGCTTGCTAGGCTTTGCGCCAGTGTCGTGGATAGCGGCCGAGCTGAGAGACCACCCCCTCCGCACCCCCTGTGGTGTCGAGAAAGTGCCACGCCTGCTAGGCTTTGCGCCAGTGTCGTGGATAGCGGCCGAGCTGAGAGACCACCCCCTGCGCACCCCCTGTGGTGTCGAGAAAGTGCCACGCCTGCTAGCCTTTGCGCCAGTGTCGTGGATAGCGGCCGAGCTGAGAGACCACCCCCTGCGCACCCCCTGTGGTGTCGAGAAAGTGCCACGCCTGCTAGGCTTTGCGCCAGTGTCGTGGATAGCGGCCGAGCTGAGAGACCACCCCCTGCGCACCCCCTGTGGTGTCGAGAAAGTGCCACGCCTGCTAGGCTTTGCGCCAGTGTCGTGGATAGCGGCCGAGCTGAGAGACCACCCCCTGCGCACCCCTGTGGTGTCGAGAAAGTGCCACGCCTGCTAGCCTTTGCGCCAGTGTCGTGGATAGCGGCCGAGCTGAGAGACCACCCCCTGCGCACCCCCTTGTGGTGTCGAGAAAGTGCCACGCCTGCTAGCCTTTGCGCCAGTGTCGTGGATGGCGGCCCAGCTGAGAGACCACCCCCTGCCGCACCCCCTTGGTGTCGAGAAAGTGCCACGCCTGCTAGGCTTTGCGCCAGTGTCGTGGATAGCGGCCGAGCTGAGAGACCACCCCCTGCGCACCCCCTGTGGTGTCGAGAATGCCACGCCTGCTAGGTGCGCCAGTGTCGTGGTTAGGGACCGCGGTGAGAGACCACCCTGCGCACCCCCTGTGGTGTCGAGGAAAGTGCCACGCTGCTAGGCTTTGCGCCAGTGTCGGTGATGGCGGCCCAGCTGAGAGACACCCCTGCGCACCCCTGTGGTGGAGTAGAGTGCACGCCTGCTAGCCTGTGCGCCAGGGAGACCCGCGGTGAGGGACCACCCCCTGCGCACCCCCTGTGGTGTCGAGGAAGTGCCACGCCTGCTAGGCTTTGCGCCCAGTGTCGTGGATGGCGGCCCAGCTGAGAGGACCACCCCCTGCCCACCCCCTTTGGTGTCGAGAAAGTGCCACGCCTGCTAGGCTTTGCGCCAGTGTCGTGGATAGCGGCCGAGCTGAGAGACCACCTCCTGCCCACCCCCTTTGGTGTCGAGAGAGTGCCACGCCTGCTAGGCTTTGCGCCAGGACCGCGGTGAGAGACCAACCCCTGCGCACCCCCTGTGGTGTCGAGAAAGTGCCACGAGCTGTGCTATGCTGAGCTGAGCTGAGCCGTGCTGGGCTGTGCTGAGCTGTGCTGAGCTGTGCTGTGTGCTGAGCTGTGTGCTGTGCTGAGCTGAGCTGTGCTGTGCTGTGCTGTGCTGTGATGTGCTGTGCTGTGCTGTGCTGTACGAAGAGTGAGGTGTGTGTGTGTGTGTGAGTGTCGCGGGTGCGGCGCGGCAGGGAAGAAAACCAGAACCCCACGAAACATGTGGGGAACAACCCGAAGGAAAACCCCCCAAACGGCCATTAGAGCCAATCCGCTCCCCCTACGCCCCCCCCAAGAACCCCCCCTTAAAGGGCTTCGCCCCCCCACACACACACACACACACAACGTCATCGCTCGTACCTCGCTCTTTCCGTTATCTGCTGCGCCCTGTTGGCTTGCCACAAGGGTGCCTTGCCACAGGGGTGCCCGGCGTGCTGAACTTCTTACGGTTTGGTCTTGGTACTGTTGCAAAAGAACTCCCGTCGGGCTTGTTGGGCCCGTCCCGCCGGCCACCCGGAAGCGACCCCCAAAGGGGAACAATATTCAAAGACGGGTCACGATGCCTTCCAAGAGGGCGAAGATGTCTGAAGATGGCCTTCAAAATGCCTCCAAGACGGCCAAGTGGCCTCCAAGACGGCCAGAGCGTGTCCAAGATGCCTCCAAGTCTATACAAGAAGCCTCGAGGACAGTCCAAGATGGCCTAAAAGATGGCCCAAGACGGCCCAAGAGGCTCCCAAGAGGCCTCCAAGGCGGCCCAAGCGGCGTCCAAAAGGGTCTTCCAGGAATGCCGAAGAGGCCAAAATCATTGATTTCCTTGAATAAGAAATGTTCTTCTGTTGGGCCTTCCAACGGCCTGAGTCGGCCCAAGAGCCCCCAAAGGTCGCCCCTAGATCGCCCAGGAGGCCTCCAATACGGCCTCAGAACGGCCCGAAAGGCCCCCAAGACTGCCCCAAGAGTGCCCCAAGACGGCCCAAGATGTTTCCAAAACGCCCAAGATGGCATCCAAGACGGCTCTGGAGCACCCTAAGAGGGCATCAAGTCGGCTCAGAGGAACCCGCACGACGGCATCCAACAGCGTCAGACGGGCCAGGATGCCACCAGGACGCCCCAAGATGGCTCGAGAGTGGTCCAGGCTGGCCCAAGAGGCCTCCAAGAGGTCTCCAAGACGGCCCAAGAGGCCTCCAAGAGGGCCTCCAAAGGCCCGGAAAGTCCAAATTCATTGATTTCCCGTTGCTGCTGAAGTCTGGTGCCATCATTTGAATCTTTTCCACCTTCCGACGGCCTGGGACGGCTCAAGAGCCCCCAAAGGTCGCCCCAAGATCGCCCAGGAGGCCTCCAAGATGGCCCCAGAACGGCCCAAGAGGCCCGCGAGTCGGCAATCAGATGGCCAAAAAGACGGCCCAAGAGGCCCCCAAGACTGCCCCAAGAGTGCCCCAAGACGGCCCAAGATGTTTCCAAAACGCCCGAGATGGCATCCAAGACAGCGCTGGAGCACCCCAAGAGGGCCTCAAGTCGGCTCAGAGGAGCCCCCACGACGGCGTCCGACGGCCCGGAGGCCACCAGGACGGCCCAAGATGGCTCGAAGGTGGCCAAAGACGGCCCAAGAGGCAAGGGGTCTCCAAGACGGCCCAAGAGGCCCCCAAGAGGGCCTCCAAAGGCCCGAAGAGGCCAAACTCATTGATTTCCCGTTGTTGTTGAAGAGTGGTGGCATTTGCTTCTTTTCCGTCTTCCAACGGCCCAAGACGGCCCAAGAGCCCCCAGAGATCGCCCCGAGATCGCCCAGAAGGCCTCCAAGATGGACCCAGAAAGGCCCAAGAGGCCCCCAAGACTGCTCCAAGACGGCCCAAGATGCCTCCAAGACGCCCAAGATGGCCTCCAAGACGGCCCTGAAGCTCCCCAAGAGGGCCCCAAGTCGGCCCAGAGAGGCCCCCAAGACAGCTTCCGACGAGCTGCGCAGCACTCATGCCCGATGCAGGCTGCGATATGTGTGGATATATATATATATATATATATATATATATCACTAGAACCATCGCGCGCGCTTCGCGCGCGCTCAGGTTCTAGCCCAGGCCGGGGGGGGCGCTGGAAGATCTTGGACAGCGCTATGCGTGACATAGTCGCGCCTCCTGCGGGCCTCTTGGGAGCCACTTGGGTCTTCGCGGGAGCATCCGAGAGGCTTTGGGGGGTTCTCTGTGCTTCTTCACTTGGCTGTTGGAGGCACCTCTTGGGTGCTTCTCGAGGGGTCGGTCGTCTTGAGGTTTCTTGGGGTCCCTTGGGGGCATCGTCGGGATTCTCCGGGTAATCGGAAGGTGATGTCCTGCAGTCTGGAGCCGTCATCGGCCGTCTTGGCTGCGTGGAAGCCCGACTTGAGGCGACCTGGGGCCACATTGAGGAAATCTGGAAGCGGGGTCTCCTGTGGGCCTTTTGGGGGGAAAGCTCTGCTGTTGGGTTCGCGTTCACCTTCTTGGGCCTCTCGTGGGGCCGTCCTGGGCGCCTTAGGCACCGTCTTGGGGCCCTCGTGGGTCGTCTTGGGGCCCTCTTGGGGGCCTCTTCCTTCATTTGGAGCGACATTGGAGGCCTCTTGGCCCGTCTTGGAACATCGGGAGGGCAAAAGGCTGAAACATCTGCGGAAATCCGTCAACATCCCATGGGGAAACAATGGTTTGTGCCTCTTGGGGCCTTCTTGAAGGCCTCTTGGAACCTATTCGGCCCTCTTGGGAGCTTCTTGGCGGCCTCTTGTATCCCATTGGGGGCCTCTTGGGGACCCATTGTCCGACCATGCGTGTCCCAGCCCCCCCCCGCCTCGTGCCCAGATATGTATATACATATAGAAAGAGGTCTCTCTCTCTCTCTCTCTCTATATATATATACATGCATATATATATATATATATATATATATATCATCCACCTGGGAGACCTCCTCGTCGCCATCCTGCATGTGCAATTCGGCTTATGGACAGCACTGCCAAGGGTCACTCCTCATCATCCTGCTGATCCGAGCAGCTCCCACGTCGTTGTTCGTCCCAGCTCGATTCCCCATGACCCGAGGACCTGCGAACGGCAATGACTGTGTCGCTCGACGACGGCGACGGCGAAACATACAAAAACGACGACGACGGCGACAACGAAGAAAAAAGGAGGAAGACGACGCACACCAGGAAGGCGACGAAATCGGCGACGATGGAGATAACAAATACGACCAACACGGCGAAGACGACCAAGACGACGAGAACGACGACGGCGGCGACGCCTGAAACGACGACGAGCGGGGCGCGAAAACAACCGGCCAAGAGGCATGG